TTTTTTTTTTTTTTTACACCTTACAGGCTAGACAATGTTTAAATTTTGAAATAAATCAATAAAAGCTGTAATATCGTTATGCATTTTTTCTTTTGAGAAACAACACTGGGATCCTTTTTCCACCTGGATCTCCGCTCTTTTTGGCCCTCATGTCGCTCAGTCGTCGGACTAAACTCGACCCCACTTCCTCCCCGCCTCGGCCGTATCTAGACCCACATTGTGTAGCACAGACCACGCTTCAATATTGAACAAAATATGTATATGTCAAGCTTACTGCAGCACACTGCTGTAAAAGTATAACCAGGAAGCGAGGTAGGAGGGCAAAATAGGTTAAGCGCCACCGCAGCACGGGAGGGAGAATTACGTCCAGGAACAAATGGATAAAAATAGAAAAAAAAAAAAAAACTTGAATCAATACTCTTGCGGACGTATCGATGCATCAATACAAAACGATTATTATTTACATCCCTAAAATTGAAACAGACAAAAAGGTCCATCCCTTTGGAATGGAGGTCATTTGGCTTCATTACTTGTCTAACTCTCTGAGTTTGTTAACTTTTTTTTTAATCTAAATAGGTTGTTTATATTAACACTTTGTATACAACTATAGATCATATATGTATATATCTCATTTGTCTGCACCATCAACACAAAGTCAAATTCCTTGTAATTGCAAATAAACATGATTCTGATTCTACTGCAACAGAGATGAAGCAGGTATAAATGAAAACATAATTTCTATCCTCTTTCCAGTCATTTAAAATCAACTTTACTTCAAATCATTCAGAAAATAACTCTATTTCAACGTATATTTTTTATCCAGTATCATTTTGGGACATTTTTTAAAGGAAATTATTAGGGTCTCTTTTGTTTAGTTAAAAGTTGATGCTAAAAATCCTCAATGATGTCCCTGACAGGGATCCCAGGGTGTCAGAGACTGCTGCCTCCGGCTGGCTGGCAGCTGTAGCTGCGGGGGCAGCTGTGTATTTATCCCGGTGCTGATGGGCACATGGCTAATCTGCATGTGTGAAGGTCAGGGCTCCTGTTTGGGAGGCTGGAACACAATGGGCGTTTTGACCAGGAACTTCCTAAACAAACCCTGAGCGTAAAGCTTAAAAAGCCCTGATGAATAAAACATGATTTAAAGCCCCAATGTGAGCTTTTTTCCCCCCCTGACAGAAGCAGCAACACAAACATCCCTGGAGTAGCTATTATGAACTTAAAAGGAAGGGCTAATCAGCATTTATAATGAGGTGGGGTGTCGGAGCAGAAGTTAGCTGACAGCTAAATTCTGGCTGCTGTCATCTTCTCCTTTTGGTCTCATATGTTCAAAAATAACTCAAAAAAAATATTAAAATCTGAAATTTGACAGTTCACAGTATGGTTGTGTCCGTGAGACCAGGCCTGCGATGTTAGCACTACCTTAGCCTAGCAAGCTAAAAATGGAGTCACCTTGGACACCAAATAAAAAACGTTGACTTTAGTTCAAATTCGTATCTCTGGTGCTCATTTATTAACGTTTTTGGTGCCTTCAGAGATTAAAGCGATGTACTTTGATCGTTTAGTTGTCAAAAATCCCGATAATGAGTGCGTCGTGTTGTGTAAAACGGGTATGTCAGTGATAGCAGTAAAGCTAACAGGGTTAGCCTGGTAGCTAACAGGGTTAGCCTAGCGGCTAACAGGCGTATCGGGCGGTGGTGTTTTTATTAAAGGGAAAAAACGAGGTTAATTTGGCGTAAATCACCTGAGATCTGCCACCGCTCGCTCCGTTGTTCCCCTGGTGACTCCTCTGCTGTCCCCCCCAGCCGTGAGCTCCCGCTGAGCCGTACTGGGAGCCCGTCTCTTCCGCGGCCGCCTGGTGCTGCTGTGGAGCGGGATTACTGTAATCTGAATATCCGCCTCCGTAGCCGCGCATCATCGGGCTCGGAGACGTCAATAACTGGTTTAAAGTCGGTGTAGCCCCCGAAGGGTGCTGCTGGCCCTGTCCGGGGAACCGCTGGAAGCCTCCTCCGCCTCCAGCCGGGGAACTGGCGGCAGTCATGACCGCCTTGGCAGGGTTAGCAGCGGTCGGGCCCATCAGGCTGTTCCCCTGCCGTGAGGGGCTCATCATGCCTCCGTAGCCGCCGCTCCCGTAGCCCCCTCGGTAGTTCGGATAGTGGTTATACGGGCTGTTGTTGCTGTAGCCTTCATGGGAGTTGTGGACCTGGTCCATGGTGCCGTGTACCGTGTTTGCCGCTGCTGTTACCCCAGTCCCTGGGCTTTGTTGTCCGCCATGTTGATCAAAGCAAGGCCCTCCTCTTCCATTCCCATAATAATGATTAAACCGGGAGCTGGTCCCGGTAGAAGGAGGGTTGTTGTTGCTGCTGCTGTCTGGTCCCAGGCTGGCATCCATCCGCTCCTCCTCCTCCTCCTGAGTGGCTCAGCTGGTGTTGCTGATGAAGCTCCTCTTCTCTGCTGCTCCCCTCCTGAAGGAGGTTTTCTGCTCCTTCATGCTGCTGCTGCCTTGATCCCTGCTGGATGCTGTTGTTTACACTGATGTTGTTGTTGTGTTCTTGCTCCTGGTGCTGAAGCTGCGGGATAATCTGACCGAGGAGAGTGATGAGATGATGATGATGCTGAAGATGGCTGAGGAGGAGGAGGTCTGCACCCTGCAGGAGGCTCATCTGCTGTAATCTGAGGTTTCTCTTTAACCTGCTCAGATTATCAGTCACACCTGACCTGGGTCTGGCTTTCTACACTTTACTCCTCCTCTGGTTTGTTATGCATGCTTTGTTTGGACCCCCTGGTGGTCAGCAGCTCTCCCAGTCTCAGGTCATCTATCTATTGCTGTGGTCAGGTGCCCACAGACAGAGCAGTCACCCCCTGCAGTGCAGATAGCTCCTATACAGACATACTAGAACAGTTTGGACCAAATAATTTGGCATTTCAAACTTTAAAGTATGTAGCTAAAATATGTCTGCCTCCACAAAAGCAAACCCCCTCCTGTGTAATAATAAATAGGCAAGGAAAACATAAAGATAAGACTTTCATTCATCTGTGATAATGAATATCATGTATATAGATTATATAAAATGTTTATGTCAGTAAATCCCTTTAATTATTTACTGAATAATCATTGAATTGTTTAGTATATGGTGTTTTTTTATGGGTCTTTCTGCTTTATGATCTGCAGATGAGGAAACTGCTGAAAAATAGGATTTCACACCAACTCAGGCCCCATTATTTTATTATTTTTCCTGTATTAATACTTAAATAAATAATAATGCATTTTAACTCTCATAAAGTTCTTATAATATGGCCAAAAACAGTTTTTGTTTGAGGGATAACTAACATGTTGCTAATAAGAAAGAGGTTTTTGACTTTGGGCTTTATGTATCAAGAGAAATCATGAGTAAAAAGGGAAAACTTCCCAAAATGACTTCTTAATCTAATGTACTAATGTATCAACCCACAAACCTAAGACCATCCTACAGGCTGCGGTACTGTTTTTCATTTAGAATTTGATGCTAAATGTTAAACTGAATCTACATGTTTATGTTAAATAAACTAAAAGAAGTGTGGATGAGCTGTCTTTATAGTAATTCCAAAAGAATCTTGGAATGAGTGAGAATTCCGTAAAAGTTTTTAAAAAATCCACTGGACTTGATTTCCAAGATTTGAAGATGTTCAGCTACCTGTCTCCAGGAAGCTTTTTCAATTCAAATGTCTTGAGTGAGAATCTTGAATAGCGTCTTTACAGTCAATTCAAATATATAAAATGCTGCATACACTTATGAAACATATTTGTCTGCAATTTCAAACTGAGTTTAATGAAAAATTGCTTGACAACAGTAAAGTTTGGTTAAAAACCAACAAGAAAATGACTTTTTTTAAAAAGGCAGATCTCTGTAAACTGATGCTTGATAATCTGCCTCATAATTCAGAGGCAAAAGTTTCCTTCTCTGTTCTTTCATTGTGAAAAACACACTGTTGAGCAGTGAAAGAGCAGATTTCCTGTGAAACTCAAACATTTTGAAGCACAACGGTCAAAAAATGATGTAAACTACAAAAACAAAACAAAAAAATCTTTGCAAATTATTAGTTATATAAATAATATGTTTCTCTCAAATAGTGAATGAAAGTGGTCCCATTAGGAACCCCTGAGGAACACCATTATGAATAATAAGGGAGCAGATCCACCGGAGCGAAGAGGCCACTAAAAGAGGGACTCAGGCAGATTATTTCTCATCGAACCTTCAGTCCTTCAGGC